GTTTCAGTACTTGAGATGGACTTTGAGCGCATAGACATCAACCAGTGTCCTTTGGGTGAAGGCAACAAAGGACCAAATCACTTTGCTGACACGGCGCGTTGTAAAAAGGAAACCACGGAATGTGAACCACTCCACGGTTGGGGCTTCAGGCGAGGTGGCTACCAGTGCCGTTGTAAACCAGGTTGGCGGCTGCCCAACGTGGTGCGGCGACCCTATCTGGGCGAGATTGTGGAGCGGGCCTCGGCAGAGCAGTACTACAACGAGTACGACTGCCTCAAGATTGGCTGTAGGTTTTGTTATCATTATTTGAAGCTTAAAATAACCGTTCTTATTTTTGAAGGGATCCAAAAGCTTCCTATTGTGTGGGAAAAGGCCCCCTACCACATACGCCAAAAATATTTGGACCGGCACCAGGAATATCGCAACTACTCCACCGGCTCAAGGGCCCTCCATACTGAGCATTTGAATATTGATCAGGCGCTGAAGTACATTCATGGAGTCAACTATCGCACTTGCAAAAAGTAAGACCAAACAGAGTTTGCCCAGCCAAGGTTACTTCAATATACTGATCAATTATGTTCTCCCCTTGACAGCTTCCATCCGCAGGATCTGATTCTGCGCGGCGATGTCAGCTTCGGCGCCAAGGAGCAGTTCGAGAACGAAGCCAAGATGGCCGTGCGACTGGCCAACTTTATTAGCGCCTTCCTGCAGGTAAGCAAACGATTCAGAGCAAACGATTCCCATCGCCTTCACGCTAAATGAAGAGCAATAATTGATAACCCGACACCTATTAAGAGCCTTCGACGACGGCTCTTGAAAACTTCTCAAGTGTAAATTATAATTTCCACGCGTAATTCAACTTCCTCGAATTTCCTGCAATGCCAGTTTCTAGGTTTTTACCGCTGCTGCCGATGCTTCTCTTACTATTTGGCATTTCTGCGTTGCCAGCCGCGCGGCGTGAATTAAATATTCAGTGTCAAACCATTACCAAATGCTAAATTCATTAGTTTGAGCGCCGAGGACACGAAAAACGGGTTCGCCACAAGGCGTCGTCTTCATTAAAGGCCAGCCACAGCCGCAGCAGCAACGAAAACCTAGGGAAATCATGGGGATGAGCGTCTTCTTTCAGCTCGCTCTCTGTGTCCATATTTGCACAAGTTGTTAGCATTGAAAAGCAGTGGGGGGAAACTCTTATGTTTCCCAACACCCAAAATGTTCCCCAAAACTCAAACCAAAAACTAAAACCCGATTCTCCCCCTTGCAGATATCGGATCCCAACGAGGTGTACTCGGGCAAACGTGTGGCCGACAAGCCGCTGACCGAGGATCAAATGATCGGCGAGACACTGGCCATTGTCCTGGGCGACAGCAAGGTTTGGTCGGCCACAATGCTCTGGAGCGCAACAAGTTCACCAATCGCACATACTTCGCACCCTATGCCTACAAAACGGAGCTCAACACGCGAAAGTTCAAGGTGGAGGACCTGGCGCGCCTCAACAAGACGCACGAACTCTACACGGAGAAGAAGTACTTCAAGTTCCTTAAGCAGCGCTGGAACACCAACTTCGACGACCTGGAGACCTTCTACATGAAGATCAAGATCCGGCACAACGAGACAGGTGAATACCAGCAGAAGTACGAGCACTACCCCAATTCCTACAGAGCGGCCAACATCAAGCATGGATACTGGGCTCAGCCGCAGTTCGACTGCGACGGATACGTGAAGAAGTGGCTGGTGACCTATGCGGTGCCCTTCTTTGGCTGGGACAGCCTCAAAGTCAAGCTGGAATTCAAGTGAGTAGAGGGACAATGTGGAATAGGGGTTGGGCTGGGTTGGGTTGGACTGAGAGACTTGTTGGGCCGGTCCGCTGCGTGCCGCCGTCGCGGGCCGTTCAAACCCCTTTTTAGGGCACAGTCCCACTCCCAATCCCTATCCCAGTTCTATTCACATGCAAATGTTAGGTTTGATTGTCTAATTTTGGAGTGTTGACAAGACCTAACTTCTGACTTGTGACTTCTGGCATTGTGATGCAAATGGTAGCAATTAAACTGACTAATTTGTTTGTTTTGCGAAGGGGAGTGGTGGCAGTCTCCATGGACATGATGCAGCTGGACATCAACCAGTGCCCGGACTGGTACTACGAGCCAAATGCCTATAAGAACACGCACAAGTGCGACGAGCAGACGTCCTACGTGAGTACAGCACAAATATTTAACTATTTCGAACAAGTTTTGTTCCATATTAATATTACTAAAACGCGCTGTGATCAGCCTGTTAATAAATATATCTATTTTTCAGTGCGTTCCCATCATGGGTCGTGGCTATGAAACCGGAGGCTACAAATGCGAGTGCCTGCAGGCTACGAATATCCTTTCGAGGACCTAATCACATACTACGACGGCCAGCTAGTAGAGGCCGAGTATCAGAATATCGTGAACGATGTTGAGACCCGCTACGATATGTTCAAGTGCCGTTTGGCTGGCGCTTCGGGTCTGCAATCCGCCGTGGGACTTGTGGTCGCCCTAATCGGGCTCACGCTCACCCTGCTGTATAGATTTAGTTAAGCAGCCGCACGCCAAATAACTAACGCAAACTTCCGTACAAACGAAACTCTCATCAAATCTCTCCACAAAGATATAACTACAAAGCAACACAGACACAAAATTGACACCCAAAAACAAAACGAGCTGCCAGCCCAGCTCTCCGCCGTTGCTCCCTTTGAACATTGTCATCATTTATCTGCAAGGCGATTAAGTTGTAGACATAATCTATTACAATGAATCTGGTTATTTGTCATTTCTATCAAAGGCGGTAGGAGCATCAGCAGCAGCAGCAGAAGCGGCAACGGCAGCGTCGGCAGAAAAGCGCAAACAGCCGCGCCTACTGCGCTCAGATTACGGAAATGCCGTGTAGCTCGTCTTTTTCTCCTTCGGAGATCCTCTCTAATGTCCGTGAAGTCGCACAGCTGTGTATGTGAGTGTGTGCGGCGATCGCAAACCTGTTAACATCGGAACCCAGTTAGGCCCAGTCGTACCTACACCCATCGGGGAGGTCGTCCAGGTCCAAGCTGAGGTTGTTTGTGCCGCACGCACACCTTTTTTCCTACCAACGGATGGCACAAAAATCCAACGCCTGCCGTCGTGTGTTTTTCTTATATTAAATCGTCGATGGTCCGTTGGCTGCGATTTTTGCCTGAATTAAATATATATGCCGATGATGCTGCTGCTGCTGTGGCGTTTTTTCCGCTTTTTGTTTTTGCGCCTTGATTATCATATGCGCTTGAATTTTTATTATCTGTACCCTGAGAACTTTTTCTATGCGCCGCAGGAACCAGTTTATCAGCCACTTGGTCTTCTACCAGGGCAAAAAAGAAATCTCCAGCGTTTTTTCATTAAAAACTTTATAGCCATAGGTAGCTGGACAGGGGCACAAAAAATCTTTTTCACACATTTTTCATAGTCATTTCAGGGCATCGGCGGTGGGCAGTAACTGTCTCAGCATTCGGGCAACTCCTCCATTTCCATTTGGAAAAATGCCCGGGTCTGCGGAAACACGTTCGAGTGGCCGACCGTGTCCGCTTTTCGTTTTGTTTTTGGGAGTCTTGTCCCCTTGACATTCCACAGTAGATTTGTAGATCAGTACAAAGAAAAAAGCAATCAAAAGTGTAAATTGTGCCTTAAAACTGAATTAAGTGTTCGTACTCGAATATTTGTAATACCACACAGACTAATCGAACGTCTGTCCAATGACAAGTCTATTTGTATTATGTATCTACCTTAATGTTAAGTGCCTTGAGAAAAATTGCAGAACTTTTACAACATTCTTTTTTAGCCTAATGTATAGACTTTAAGTGCCTTTTAATTCTAAAACAATACATATACACAATGTTTTAATATATGATTTTGTAGTGAAACAATCGACTTACCAAACTTATTCATTTTGCATGCGAATGTCCCCAACGTCAGTCGAATTGATAGGCGCTTCCGATTCAAGTTGTTCTCAAGATGTGAATTTTTCTTCACGCTTTGCAATTTTAACGTATTACGATCGAAGAGCACAAGTTAAAATCCAATCTTTGAATTTTTCAGGTTTTATAAAAGTGCGAAATTATACCACAATATATGATATTATGCTTTAGAGAACAAAAACAGAATATAAAAGATCTTGGAACTCCAAAATAAATTCACGCCGCCCGTCTAATCGCCGAGCGCCGCAAATTCTCCTCCAATTTCTTGATCTTATATATATTCGCGGTCACACGACTGCCCCGCCTCGATTTGAATTGGTTCGCGGTATCGATCGGATTGCAATCGGCTTTCCTAACCACGAAATATAAAGAATAATTTCTAATTTGGACTTATTTTTGATCCTTTTAGAATTTTAACGAATTTTTGGAGGGGATTTATTCAGAATGGTTGATGTTTTAATACTGAGAAAATTTTTAATCTCGTAACCCTGACAGTTCTCAACACGAATGAAAAGTTTCCATGGCCTGCTGGTCTTGTCCCATTAAAACTAAAGTAAATACCAATCGTTTTTAGTTTTTAATTAACTATTTATTTCGTGTTCGGTTTTCGTGTGTTCTAAATACATCCCAGCTATACCATTGCCTCTCTTTTGGGGGCGGGTAGGTAAAAGTAGGTAGTGTACGCAGTTGGTTATCAAACATTTTATAAACTATCACAAATCAATTATTGGATGTAACTACACAACTTAGTTCATATAACAGCGACAACACCAAACCGAATGTTCCATTTTGGGGATTCCCAGATGGGTTCAAAGGAGAGGCGGTCGCGTTAATACAACAGTATCCTCGTTGATTTATTCGACTCTACAACACTTCGAATTACAAGTTACGAACAACACATAAACATTTAAAAAATACAATACTTCGATTCGTTTTTGACTCGGTTCACATTCAGTTCGCGTTCAAATAAAAAACTTTAACAAAAGTCCAATCCACGGTTAACGTTAAGTTTAAATGAAAAACCATTTGGATCTAGTCGCTAGATGAGCTTATAGTTTAATGGGTTTCTTAGCCGGGTGAACTTTGAATTTTTCTCGGTGACGTCTATCAACTATTTTCCTTAAATAACTTGGATTTTCTTGTTCGTTTTTTCGTTATCGTTTCCTTCTTAAGGTGTGCCTTTGAGTGAATCCACTTTAAAATATTTGACTATTCATTGCCTTTATAGTTAATGTATATAATTGCTAAAACAATTGGCTTCGATTCCTTACACAATTTCGTAATAATTATGAGTATTAAATTATAACCGTATATAGTTAACTTTCGGGGCACTTTTGAGCTCGATTCGCGGGCTCCTTCTGGGTTTCTGTTTCTGTATCTGTATCTTGAGACTGAGATTCAAGGCGAGGCAGGGTTATCATGGTCATGGATTCCGTTGACTGAAGGAGATTCTAATCTCCGTGCTGTATCTGTAACTGTAGCTTTTAAATGTGTTATATTTGAGCAAAATTGTAACTGCATGCGATCCGATTGAACTTTTACATCAACAACAACGACAATAATTATGACATAATGACACATAAACTATAACCGATCTAATTAATCTGATTGTATGCTTTGATATGCCAGGAGCGAGAAGTCCCTTAATCCGACGGAGCGTAATATACCACGGTGGACTTCCTCCGGAAGCCGAGATTGAAGAAGGACGTCTCCGACTTCTTGCGCTCGTGCTCCTGCTCGTTGCCGAAGTAGGAGAAGAGACGCCCGTGGCTCCGGTGTGGGACCGATGGTGCTCCGGTCGCCCGGCTGCACCACCGTGGACACTGTGGCTGCTGCTCTGGCGGTGGATCTTGGTCAGCGAGGTGTGCGAGTGCTGGCGCTGCAGGTGCTGCTGGTGGAGCGAGTGCTGCCGGTGGTGGTATTGCTGCTGGAGGTGCTGCTGGTGGGTCTGCGGATGCTGCTGTTGGTGGTGCAAAAGTTGCTGGTGATGCTGTGCGTTGGCGCCGCCGTGGCCATGTAGAAACCCAGTGGTGGTCGGCGACAGATCAGTCATCTCACACGGCCAGAGGGTGAACGAAGATGGGACCTTATGTATCCCGTCCGATAGTCGATAATGGTGGGATGCTGACCTGTTAAGTACCGCTCCGAGGGCCCGCGACCCCATCTATATTTGTGTGTGGGGAGATAGTTTTTTTTTTTTTTGTTTTGGTAAAGACAGAGTGTCACATGTTAGTATCTGAAGGGCTAGCTATCTGGTTAATATTATCTTCTGTTTGGCATTAGATTGATTTACTTTCTAGGCATTTCTTAGGTGTTCAACTCTAGGGCGCTACATACACTCACATTTACATAGAGTAAGCGCTTGCATGTCTATATCTTTTGGGACTAGGCACTGCAGGGGTACAGGACTCCCCGGGAATTGGGTTCCGGGATCTCGAGTCTGCAGTGCATAGATACAATAGCCTAAGCGCTAAGACTTTTACTGATTTTTTACTGATGTTCTGTGTTTCTTATATACAAATTTATCGTGTGTGTGTGTGTTGTGAGTGTGTGTATTGTGGAGTATGTGTTGGTGTTTCGGGGGTTAAGCGGGGTCAAGTTACGGGTGCCGAAAATAGTTACATTAAGCTGTGCTCTCCAAAGTTCATAAGTAGCTTGATTAGCAAAGATACTTCTCAACAACATAGGCAAAGCTGTAAACATTACAAAGCAAACGAAACTTAAAAAAAGTTTTAAAGACTTTTCAAAAATTTTAGATATTGGGGGAGAGGTAGTGATCTGGTGAGCTGTACATGGGGAGGATTGGGGTGAAGCTAGTGATTCTAAGAGCTGATCAAAAATAAACTTATGGGACTCTCACCGTTCGATCGTTTGAGTTTCTCAGTCGGAAACTTGAATGTTACTTAACGTAGTTTGGTACAAAAGTGTTCTTAACAGTCGCATAACAGTTGTAAAAACTTTTTGGGTTTTCGGGGGAGATGCGTGGGCGTGGCAGTGGCCGGGGGCCTAAGCAAAAACAGTCGGAAGCCACACGCCGGTTTGGTAACATTCATGCGATTGGCTCAAACAACGTATGAGTCGGTTTTGACCGCATAATACTTTCGATTGTGTTTGTAATGGGTAGCATATATATGCTGCGATCTGTGGGTCGAAAATCCAAAAAGAGTCCAGACAGAAGGAGAGAGAAGAGAGATAGGGGAGATAGAAAGAGAACGCATAACTTAGGGGATGTCGACAAAAGGATAAAAGTATAAAAATCAGATGATGCCTGTTATGGTACTATTTCTACGAGGGGCAACTGTACCTTGGTAGTACTTACAGCTAGCGATTTGATCAAGTTTCGTACTTACCCCGATCTGGCAGTGGTGTAATTGAGTTTCAGAGTTTTGTTATTTTTTTTGGAAAATCTTTTTACAAAATATATCTTGTCTTGTTCTGTTTTTTTCTTTGTTATCTGTACAATTCAGTGACTTGTCCAAAACTCTTAGCTTATATGGTGCGTGCGCGTGATGTGCCGCTGCGCATATCTGGTGGACGGTCCCGTGACTTCAGCTCGTTTACAAAGCGCTGGCCTACCGCTACATGGTTTTATGTGTGGTCATGTTCGATCGTTTTTGCAGTGTATTTTTGTGGTTTTGCAATGGGGGTCATCAATTGGGCCACGTCCCGTTCGGTTGTGTGTGGTGTGTGTGTGTAAAGAAAGAGAGAGAACAGTTCGAGAAGAGGAGATAGTCCAGAGAAACACAGAGAGAGAGAGAGAGAAATAGAGATAGGCAGGTTGTGGCAGAGGTGAAGAAGAAAAACAAGAAGAAAAAGAAGCAATAGTACAGATTAGCGGTGTTACTATATACAAATCAGGAGATTCTACTGCTAGAGATCCGATAGATCTCCAAACGTGGGTTGTAAACGATACAGCAGCTACACTTTGAGGGCATATGAGGGGTTTTATCCTGCATACCTCCACTGGGGGAAAGGCTACCGCTGCATCGTTTACACCCAGCATTTTGTTTCAAATGGCTCCAAAAAGAATATCATACAAGAAACTGTTCAACGGAAGATCATGATTATTGCATCTACTCCGGTGGCTCCGAAAGTGAGTGGGTTGGTGGTTTTGGGTGATTGGGTGAGTCTGTCATTTGGCATCGATATCGGATCGATACACTTTATGTGAGGTGACTTTAGCTGGCGGTGGGCATTTAGGACCCTCGGATCGACTTACCTTAGCACTGGGCCAAAAGAAGAGTTAACCGAAATCTGGCAGACCGAGACTACTCAGTCGTACTGTACTTATTAACCAAAGGCTATCATACTGTTACTCGGATTAGCTTATGAAAAGTAAATGGAAATCAAAACTTAGATGCGAGAGGTAAGGTTAAGAGAATCACTTGCAATCCCTCACAAACCAAACGAAACCAAATCAAACCCGAATTATCAAAAGTCTAGGCAAGAGTTGACTAAGGATTATAACGAAATCGAATGAAAAAACATACTTCGCTTACAGTTGGATTTGGATAAATATATTAGTAAGTTTGTTGATTGCTTGTCTCGGTATGGGCTGGGTATTTAGAGTAAGGTATTCCTATATGGTATAATAACGAAAAACCCTTCTTTCAGATTTCGGGCACCGTGTTGTTTATGCTTAGGTTGTAAGAAACATATTCAATTCTCAGCTCAGCCTAAACTCGAAACTCACCTCGCATTGTGACCCAGCATTATGATGCTTCTGCAAAAAGACAATTGAGAAATGTCGACACGTTTTTATATATATAAGAAGTAGGTAGAGTATATAGCATAGAGTAGAGCTTGAAGAATTTAAAGTTAGGCAGACAGATCGCACAGAAATAAAGGAGTAACTCAAGAGCAGATCAGTTTGGAAAACGAAAAACTGTCAATTCGAAATGAAAACGAAGAGAAAACGAAGGTCGGTCAAACATGCCAATCAGTAACAATTTGAATGCATTTTAATGTATATCATTATTTAGGATTTAATCGTTTTTAAAGGTCGGGTCTTTGTTTTTATTTGGTTTCTCTATGGCCGGTAGCATCCTGACATAGTATTGGGGGAAATGATAATGGATACACGATATTACTTGGGGCGATGGGGATTTAGATACCCAGCTTTGGTAAATTCGTTCATGCTGCGATTTAACATCTGCAAAACATCTATGGTAACTTGCGCTCTCCTCTCTAAGTGCAGACAGTTTGAGTAACTAAAGAACAAATAACCAAAAATCGAATTTATATACACGAACAGGTTATAGGTTATGGCCAAGTCAATAGATTTAACCCAATTACAAGAAGCTGCAATTCAGTAGAGGTCACACAACAAACAGCCAAACATATCATCATCATCATCATTCATAATCACCAGCATCCATATTTTTGGAGTTCTGCATGGATCTTGAAATGGAAACTTTCGCAACACCAGCGAAACTCAAACTACATATGTACGTTGAGGTGGGCGTGTGTGTTTCGGAGTGTGTTGTGGGTGGGTGTATTAATTGTTCAGGTGTGGGAACTACTACAGTAATAGAACCTCGGCACCAGCAACCAACATTATCTGGAGTTGCCAAGGATATATCTTACACAAATGGGCAAAACAAAAAGATTGACCCTGAGATCGGTCTGGTTATACCCCGGCATCTGAGGTACATATTTGGGGTATGGGGTTGCTGATATGCCGAAACGAAACGAAATCATCAAAAGTATCAACAACAGTAAGTATAAGTACATTTATGGTAACGGCAGCGCCAAAAAAAACGTTAAGAACAACAACGAGATGGGATTGTCAACCAATTGCACAACAGCCGAGGTAGTTGGTGTCAGTAAAACGGCTTTATTTAACGGTAACGATATATAGATATATGGTTCGTAAAATGTGTGTAGAGGTATATTTCGGTATATAGTTAATTGGGTGTACATAAAGGCAAGTATATATATGGTAACAGTTAGATACACAGGTCTAGATATTTCTTTCAACAAGGGTGAGCGCAAAGTTGGAAGCCAAAGTGTTGTAGTTTTGCTTGTGGGATATATATTTTTGTGTTTTTATACCTATAGATAGCATAGAAGTTTTTGTTGTTGTATTCAGTAAAAAATCTGCCAAGTTTCTGTTACTTATCATTAGCAAATTATCAAGTCAAAGTTGAGTTGGAAGGCTCGTTATCTTAGGATGCCTACGGTTCTAGTTTATATCTAATGGTGTCTTGAATCAAGGATTTGGTATGGTTTTTTTTGTATTTGATTTTGGTTTTGGGTTTTTGGCTTAGCTTGTGTTTTTGGCCTACCGAATGAGCATAGCGAATTTCAGCTAATTCACAACAACATTGGTAGCGGAGTATGGCACGAACGCTCTTTCTGCAAGATGTTTGTTTATATAAAATTAAATATATAGTTTATGTGAGTATACAGGAAATTAACAGCGTTTCATACAAATCAAACATGAGAAGAAATTTTAATTTTTTCGATGATTTATTTTAACGTTTGCTTTAGTCATTAACGCCACTGAGTGGCAACAACATGAAATCATAAATTTGAAATAAATTCCAAAATAATATACAACCGAAATGAACTGAAGCCGTAAAATATTCGAAACAAACACGCACGAGACTTTTACTCTGACAAAGAAAATTAGCATAATAATTGCATTACAATTATTCTTAGCAATATGAGTAAATACGAGAAATATTTCCCACTTACCGCAACAATCGCGTTATATAGTCTGGCCAGTTGGCGGGGAACATAACGAGGAAAAATCCGATGCCAATCAGAATGACTCCGGCCAGCTTCATGCCCGCAAAGTTCGCACTGTAGAGTATGACATCGAGTGCTAAGGGATCGAATGAGATGTGGAATTAGATATCTTCTTATAGACATTTTATAAAACTAAAAAAATGCCTACATTTCTTTCAAACTATTGTAACTGTTTTCCTAAGAATAAGAATGTTACTCTGTTACTTTCCGGTATCCAATTCAAGTTTTCTGAACAAAGTTTGACTACAATATTGTAAAAAGTTATATCGCAATGCCCCCACTACAAAGATCAAATGGTCTTACGTGACCCACACGAGTGCTCGGCTGTAATATTACAATTTAAAACAATTTATAGTCACGGAATCCTTCAGACGAAAAGAGGCTAACCCAAGTGTCCCAACTAACCCCCATGTGAGACCTGGAAGTAATTCCGAGGAGCTAGCCTGTGTACATACCACCAGAAACGGGCACAGCGGTAATCAGACCCAATGTCACAAACATGTTGTACGTAACGGCGGCACTGGAACTGCATCAGAACGTGGAAAACTGCAATCAAAATTAATTACACCGATAAAAGTTAACGGCACGGCGTATGCAGAGGGATCTGGGGCTAGGGAATGGGTCCTACCGAGGAGCAGGAGGCTCGCCGCGAACAGCAGGTTCCAGGGTATGCTCTCCGATGTGAGGCTTTCCGTGCCAGTCAGGTAGAGTCCCAGCACCACGGGCCACAGCAGCAGGGCGTTGAGGAAGCCGAGGGCGGTGAATATGAAGGCGATTTGGCTCACCGGCGGATCGCCCATCACCTTGCGGAACATAACCTGGAAAGCGACAGGCCAACATGAGCACGACATGGCCCGCACACGAACCGGGAAAATGGGACATCCAAATGCGGGTAGGTGGAAGGAGGGATACTCACCCGAAACACGGCATAGCCGGCTCCGGCTAAAGTGGCCAGAACCACGCCGCTCAGGGTTCGGCTTTCCGTGATTCCATCCATGTAGGCCAGTAACGCTATTCCCGTGTCGCAGAGGATGATGGCCACGATCTGCAATAAAACGGTCGTTTAACCAGGACTTCAATGAATTTAAAAAATAAACAACAAAGGGGTTTTATAATATGACTAATTAATAAACAGCAAAGGGGTTTTATGACATGACTTTAATTAATTACCCTTTACAACTACAATGTAGGTTATTAACAAGACTATCTGCCCACTAAATTGCTGGGGAGAAATTTAAAAATGTTAGGAGTTTTACTTTATACTTTGTCTAGTATAATCTTGTTTTTTAATACTTTTTTTTTAATAATTGGTAGTTAGTAGTTAAGGTAATAAATATAGTATCAGGGGGCTATAATTAAAGTTCAGATATAGTGGAAAGAATATTTTCGTTTAGTTTCGAAGCCATTAAAATCTCCAGGAATTTACAATCACTTTATAAACATACAATCTGTAATATTGCTTGTCAGAGGCGTAACAAAAAAATCTAAAGAGCCAATATTTTGTAGAAAACCTGCTGTTTAATCAGTTTATAAGATGTCCTCCCGCTATGATCGAGCTGTTACCATATTCTCGCCGGACGGTCACCTGTTGCAGGTGGAATACGCCCAGGAAGCCGTTCGTAAGGGCTCGACGGTGGTTGGCGTTCGGGGGGCCAATTGCGTGGTGCTGGGCATGGAGAAGAGCTCGGTGGCCAAGTTGCAGGAGAATCGCACGGTGCGCAAGATTAACATGCTCGACAACCATGTGGGAATGGCCTTTGCCGGCCTAACAGCCGACGCCCGGATCCTCATAAATCGAGCCCAGGTCGAGTGCCAGAGCCATCGACTTAATTTCGAGAATGCGGTGACCGTGGAGTATATTACCAGGTACATTGCCCAGCTGAAGCAGAAGTACACGCAGAGCAACGGGCGCCGACCCTTTGGAATATCCTGTCTTGTAGGTGGCTTCGATGCCAGTGGAACTGCCCGTCTGTTTCAGACGGAACCATCCGGAGTTTTCTACGAATTTAAGGCGACTGCTATTGGTCGCTCAGCAAATACTGTGCGGGAGTTCTTCGAGAAAAACTATAGCGACGAGGAAGTAAGAACCAATCGGGGAACCTTTAAACTGGCCATTAGCGCCCTTCTCGAAGTCGCCCAGTCGGTCCACAGTCACCTGGAGTTGGCCATCATGGAGATCGATTCACCACTGAGAATGATGGAAAGCAAGTTAATCGCCGAATTTGTGAACATCATTGAGAAAGATAAGGTTCAGGAGCTCGAGAGGAACGCGAGGAAAATGAACAAACTTTATACTGGATCCTAAATCTATTCTATCATCTTGGCAGATGTTCATTGACTCGTTGAATTAATCGTTTTCCTTAATATTTTTTATATTCCTTGATTTGTGTGTTAATGATAATGTATATTTAGTTCTACCTAAAGACTTAGTTTACTCACTCTCACACCCACGAACTGCTCGTGGAGGATCACCCAGGATAGTAGGTACACGCAGGCCACATTGGTGGCGAACAGGGCCAGGGCATCCGTGGCATAGAGGACGTGCAGGGAGAGTGTGTACAGGTAGGTGGTGACCAGCCACAAAATGCAGAAACAGAGGCAGCGATTGAGGAAGCGACCTGTGGGTTGAAAGTCAGTTAAAATCACATTTCTCAAATGTTAAGAACCCATTCCAACTGACCCACTGTGAAACCGCGCTCCCGGAATCCTCGCAGCACATCGCCAAGAATGTCGCTCAGCTTTTCGCACTTGCGCGTGGAGACCAGTCCCAGGATGTAGATGGGGAAGAAGAGCAGCGAGAAGTTGGTGAAGAACCAGGCGGCGAAGAACGGGGCGCTGAAGTAGACCGGCTGGCGCGGTGGTATGTTGAACATCTCGGTGGCGTCCTCGACGTGGTGCAGCGACGAGTCGCTGATGGCCAGTATGTCCTCCAGTTCCGTGCTCAGATCGGCACGGCTCGAGGACGTGTCCTGGTCGTCGTTCAGCAAGTCGTCGTACGGAGCACGGTACTTATACATGTACTTAATGCAATGGGTGGCCCCCACCCACGAGGCGGTCATCAGGATGGTCACGCACACGCCAAAGTACATCTGCAACACAGCATGAACATAACACGGTTAGTACTTCATTTCAATAAAATTTATGCTACGCAATAAAATGTATAATAAGAACAATTGAGCTTTATATAACACCAAGTTACTGGTGAGTGGTAATATGGTTCTTTAACACTTAATCAAAAGCTTAGGTACCCAGAATTATCGAAAAGAAATATGTTTAAGTGATTTTCTTATTTTCTGTGGGATTTCATTAGACATATAATATGTTTCTCTTTAAGAATTTCTTTGAGCTTAATTAATCTGCCTAGTTTAGTTAGCCTTTTAAAGATATGTTGCAGAAAAGTATGCAACGATTTTTTGATTTGAGAGATCCTTGACTATATTGCTTAGACAATCTTGTTATTTTTGTTATAAAAGTTCAGTTGACACAGATTAAGCCAAGTTCTCCTCACCTTGCGGGCCAGTTCGGAGCAGCAAGACTCCTTGCAGGCCTGCAGCTTCCGGAATCGCAGCTCCGGCTCCTCCCCGTGGCCATTAGCCTGCTGCTGATCTGTCTGCGTGTCGCTGGAGTCGCCGCCGCCGAAGTGGTGCCCAGTGTTGTGGCTACCCGGTGCGCTCGTGGGCGTGTCCGCCGGTATGATGATCACCTCATTGGGGTCCTGTTGGCTCGAAGAGATCGAGTCTTGGTGGGTTATTTGCGGGTTGGTCGAGGTGAGCACGTTGCTGAAGCCGCAGCTGCCCGTTGCCCCGGTGCCACTGCCATTTGGAGCGGACGATCCGGGAGCCACTGCTGAGCTGCTGCTGGCTCCCGCTCCGCCGCCTCCGCCGGTGTTGTTATTGTTGTACGGGCCATTCGTCGACGAGTCGCCGGTGACCACCACGGAAGGAGTGCGCACCCGTTTCGGATTGAAAATGGCTGGAATTTCGCCGTCACGCGTCATGCTATCATCATTGCCGGGCTCCTAAGTCGCTCATAGTGGTCGGATCCTGAAAATTTATGAGTAAAATAGTCTGTAATATATTTGCTAGTGCTTTAACTTTATAGTTTCCATTCATTCTTTTATGGGTCCTATTTATAATCCTTAAGATTCATTTAGACTTTATAGTCAGACTGTACAAAAAAATAGAATATGTTTATCCTTGACTTTATGTAAGGTCCCCAGATCATTCTAAAACAAGTATACGATTAGATAAAGATATTTAATTTGTCTGTACCTTAAAATAAAATATATTTGCCCACATTTAAAGGCGAATCTTGTGTATAACATTCAAGCAGATTTAGGTTTACATTTTAAAGTAAGGCCTAATCAATGATTCAGTTCGATTCGGGCAGCTATTCCATTTCCATCCCAGCACCAGAGCCCAAGCCGTCTAGAATCGGGCTGCTCACGTGCTACCGGCGATTAAAGATTGAGGAACACGCAAATGGGAGGCCATTTCTCGACGCTTTACAAGCGAAAGGCGCACCCAAAGCCCACGCAGTTCGTTCAGGGTCCGAGCAATTTGCATGGGCCTCCCTTCTCCACCAGTGCCTCCTCCATCCAAGGGGGAAACAAAACTGGCCTAGGCCACACTCAAGGCTAGGGCAGCCAAGTTTTACGAGCACCGCCGAATGACCAGCCAACCAACTAACCAGCCTGCCGTTCATTTAAGTCCAGACCTGACTAGGAGCCCATTGATTGGATGGAGGGCCACAAAGGAGCGGGGCCTTTGCTCATAACAATGCGAATTATGAACGCCCCGGCTCAAGCAGGTCAAGTTGAGTGGACAATAAACGGCCAACCGGATCTGGCTGGGCAATTTGTAAGCCTTCTAACTAGAGTGTTAAATCCAGCCCCATCCCCTGCTACCAAGTCGGATGAGTTAAAATGTCCTTCGGTGTCCTTCACCTTCGCATCCCACCGAGCGGCTCCTGTTTGCCTTCGATAATAGTATTCTAATTGAAACATTAATTATTCAGTCCAGTGGGGGCGGGCTGAGGTTCCACAGGGAGATTCCAAGAGCGTAATGGCTTTATAATGAAGGTCCTGATAATTGCCTGCAATTTTGAGCGATTGAGAATAATATTCTATCGATTTCCGAGCAGCGTCATTGTATGTAACTTCAAGTCGAACTGGAATCTCCAACTTTTTTACAGTGCTTTTTTATTGTATGTAACTAAGCTCGGCTTAATGCCGTATTCATTTGAGATAAAGCTTTTAGTTTCCCATGAGACGTTAGCGCAAATCGACATGGCATTACTTGTGAGCGGAAAACTCGTTCAGCTTTTAGTTCTGGCTTGGCTGGGGGGTAAGTCGTATATTAAATAACATTATTTACTAGTTCATTTTACATATGTTATGAAATGGCAGCCTTGGCAATGGGAGAGTCCCAGTGCGGTCGTCTAGATGAGAATTTATTGTACACCACCGAGGAAAAGACAAAACCATCCGAGAATCCCTGGGTAGGCATCCTACTGACGGATCAAGGTGAGTCGATGATTATGTTGTGAGATAAGGCATTTATAAGAACTCTGTCCTAACATCTACACGCGATTTCACAGGAAATCATTACGAAAACATGAGATGCTCCGTTGTCATTATCAACGAGCTGCACGTCCTCACCACTGCCACGTGTGTTAAGGGCTTCCAGAACCGATCCGGAGACACTAAAGCCGTGGCCCTGCTGGGCGTTTGGAACGAGAACGACTCGCCCGATGAGGAGCTTGTGTGCAACGACAAGGACTTCTGTGTACCGGGTCCCAAGCTTTACAATGTAATCGATATCAAGGTGCATCCGCAAAGGGACAGGGATACGGGGGACAACGACTTGGCCATCCTGCGGCTGGAAAAGCCCGTCGAGTGGACCAACTGGGTCCAGCCGATCTGCATGCAGGGCAGCTCGGAACCGGAGACGCTGACCAACCGAAACCTTCACTACTCTGGCTTCAACCATGGCGACTACGCTCGGGGCAAGGGTCTGGCCATGACGGTGTCCACACCGAAGTGCAAGCAACTGACCTCCTCCACCGTATTCTTCCCGGTCAACCAGATGTGCGCCTATCCCGTGAAGCGCACAAAATACTATCCGGGTGCCCCACTAATGGACATCGATGTGCGGGATGATAAACCGCACAACTTCTACTTGGTGGCTATTCTAGTTCGGAATGTAGATACCGATGCCACAACCCAGGTGTACCAAAACGTGCGACGTGCCCGCTCCTGGATATTCGAGAATTCGAAGTAGGAAGATTCACTGCATTTTGAACAACTCGTTTTGTGAATAAATAAAGGTTATTAATTAAATATAGATATGAGGAAGTAAAATGTTTGTGGGTTCAGAGGAATTACTGATGCATCGTGATGGGAGCTGCCCAGGGTTTCCCATCCGAAACGAGTTTTCAATCGATCTTGGTAATGTAATCATAGAGCATTAACTAGAAGCGTAGAAAAACAGGTAGTTGATGGTGTTAGCTGGAAATTTAGTCAAACACCTTGCGACACAGAGAAAAAGTAAATAACAATCAAATCTAAAAATGCTTTTAGCCCTATTTAGATTATAAAAATCAGGTAACATATTTTTTGTAAAGGGCGTTTAGTAACCAAAAACAAAATAGTGTACTTTCTAAACTATGAATTTCCATAGTTTTCTAGATCTAGAGCCTCTAGTTAAGTTTATGCCGTTGAATTGCAAAACTTTAGAAGTCTGTTTGCCTATAAATTTCTTTCAGTGTTGTACCAAGTTCTCATAAAGATCACAAGCTTCTAGATAAACCCCCTATCTATTGCATTGTGAAATGTAGCTGGAAACTTTTCGTTTTCCCCAGCTCAGTTAGTTAACTTTGAGCTGTGCTTTAGAATGCTTCGACGAATCGCAGTTATCACGTTGTTTTTGGGCCTTCTTAGCTTCGGTGTGCAATCGGCCGAGCAGGATGACACGCAGTGCGGATCCTTCAATGAGGATCAAATGCTCAAGCAGAAAGACTTTGCTATTCCCACCGAGCACCAGTGGGTAGTCCGAATAGTCTATGGCAAGGGTAAGAGTCCTTCAGTTCCCATATAAAACAGAATATTACCACCGACTATTTTAGGGTTTGAGGGCAAGATTAAGAACAATGGCTGCCTGGGCGCCCTGATATCGAAGCGCACTGTGCTGGCCCCCGCCCACTGTTTTGTTCAGTACAACGGGGTGGCAGAGGCCTTCTCCGTTCACCTCGGTGTCTTTAACAAGAGTGCTCCCGTTGGAGTGAAAGTCTGCGAATTGGATGGCTATTGCACCCGTCCTGCGCAGGAGATCAAGCTGGCCGAAATAGCCATCCATCCGGAGTACGATTCGCGAACCCTTAAGAACTCTCTGGCCGTGCTCACCCTACAGCGAGATGCCAAGATCTATCCGAACGTAATGCCCATCTGCATGCCACCTATAAACTTGCTCAACGAAACACTGGTGGCCCAGACCTTCATGGTGGCTGGTCTGCGCATCTTTGAGGATCTGCGATTGAAGACGTGGGTGAATACGCTGAGCCGACCCTTTTGCCAAAAGAGGGTCAAAACTTTGGTGACCAGCAGCAATACGGTGTGTGGCTACCACGCCCAAAAGGAGGCCTATTATCTGGGAGCCCCTCTGGTGGGGATGCAGAAGAAGGGTCACTCCACCCAGAACTTCTACCTGGTGGGCATCATGATCGACTGGGGCTGGGATGGCGATCGCGTCATGTCCAGCTTCCTGGCCATTCGCAACTACATGGACTTCATCAAGCAGAATTCCAACTCACTGATTGTACGCTCCTGAGCGCTGAATAAAGTACACACGAAAAAATGCCAGCTGCCAACAGGTCTTGCTGGGGTGTTAATTATTCAGCTCCAAGACCGAAACCCGTTGTTCGCAGCTCGGAGCTCGAAGCTCGTGCAACATGCAAATTGTTCCTACACTTATAGCATTTTAATGAGCAGTCACTCAGCGCAGCGCAGCCGCCGCTAGTTGGCTAATGCGAGGAATATGCAAATTTCATCGCTTTCTCCGCGCCCCCCTTTTGGGGGTATGAAAGTCTGGCCGTCGACGGGAGACAGCCGAAAATGTTGCAAATACCCAGCAGAACGGAAACGGAAGCCCTGGGGCCTGAATGGGCGGGTGGCGAGCGAGGATTCGGGGCTGCCTTGCCATTGGACGAATGCCAAGACATTGACTTAACTGGCAGGACTCGAAGAAATCTAGAAGAACTTAACAATACTCTGCATGTTTACAAAGAATCGAATGGGAGAATAACAAATAGTCATGAATAAGTAGTCCTGTCAGTGCCATATTTCTCACAATTATTAAAACGAATTTTTTTTTTTTAATTTTGGTTGGTTATTAGTCAAGGTTTTTTATAACTGTTTATAAAGATTATTTTGAAATGGAATTTGGATAATAGCCAAATAAAATGTTTTTGAAAAATAGTTTGTTGCATTTAAGTATTTTTGAAATATTTTAAATAATGTTCTTGATCTCAAAATTTTAAAATGGAAATCCTTTTAAGTGTAACGAAAGGTAGTGAGATGGTATAGCATTTATTTTTTCTTTGTGCACTGAATGGGCTTGGTTCGATGTGAAAAGTTATTTTAATGTGTGGGACGGACTTCCTTTATGCATAAAATAGACAGAACAAGAAGACATAAAATAACAGCCAGGAGGATTAAATATTAAATGGCTGGTAAGTTTAGTCCTTTATCATCACCCTTCTCGTCCCCAAAGTCTCGTCAAGCTAATGTAGACACATCGCCTTTATTGGCATGCCCTTGCATACTTTTGGGCGCCAAATTGCTCTATAAAGCAGCGCTAAGAAAAATGAAGCTCGTTGTTTATTTTTGCCAGGAATAAAAATCACAATAAAATTTAAATTGCCAGACATGGGCGTCTTGAGCAGCAGATGGAGATGGGCAGGAAAACGTGACCGAATGACGATGACCGACGGGGATAAACAGAGCATTCCACACGCTGTGCGAGGAGAAATGCGATTCAAAACAAAACAAACAGCCAAACGACCGAGAGAAAGTGCGCCCGAGAGGAGAAAGCGCGAGAGAATCCATATAGAGAGAGAGCTGGCAGCTTTGTGTGGGTGGTGTTTTTGGCCAAAAGTAAACGAGCTTAACAACAACAACGGCGAAAAACAGCCAACAGTAAGCGTACTTGTGTACGTACAAACACACACACACCTCGGTCGAGGACACCACGCGGCGTATACGCAATGTGACACTTTTAGTGGTTATGGTCAAGCACAGCACTTGAGCGAGGGCAATGCGAGAAGGAAAGCGAAAGTGACGCCAAAAACAGTGGCAGTCAGACACCTGCTCAGCCACCTGGGACACACGGAAACAAATTCGAAATCCGAAAGCTATAGTGCTCATAGGTACTACGCACAGAATGGTTTAATGCCCTTTTACCATCTATAAAATAGAACTCATCAATAAATAATAGCCTATTTATGGGCCATACAATCATGGTTTTGCCATTTCTAATTAATATTTTAGCACAGCGGACTAATTACGCTTTTATATTATAATATATTTCTAATAATATGATATTATTATATATAGTTTTCCAAAATGTTATTTATTTCGGTTCCAAATGCCCGCCAAGATATCTTATATTTTTGTTGTCTGGAACCCCTGCACATATGTATGTCTGCTTATTTCTGAGGTTGGGTTTAGGGTTAGTGACTAGGCCTTGAGGTTGGCGCACACCTTGACAGTAGTCGAAAATCTAGCCCAACCCCCGCAGACAGTTGTGACAACCTGGGACGGTTGAATTTTTCATTTCGCCACGAAAACAGGGCAAGGGAAATTGCCTGGCGAATCCGTTTATCCTTAACAAAAGGGGTAAGGGCCTTAGGGGAAAGTGTTTTTCCAGGCCGCACAGCTGTCGCTTTAAATGTCTCCGCGCCGAGTTATGGATGCTCGTCGAGGCGTTTAATGTTTTTATATAATTTACTTAAGCACTTAATGTCATTTTCCCACGGCACTACCACATGGTACACAAACTTTACGCAATTCTCTGGCCCTCTTGTGCTCTTTTCTCTTATATAAAGATAGCGAGCGGACTGGTCTGAAAAGAACTCAACTGGACTGGCGACACTGTTCTCCGCGGTTGAGCTCAGCCCTTTACTTAATTCAATTAAATGTGCAAAAATATGCTGGGGTATAAATTTGGAGCAGCTCGGGAAACGGAACGCTCTGCACGGATACACAAAACGGAGGCTCATACACACAGATACACACACGCACACGCACAGTGGCAGATACACTTGGCTCACATCCACATCAACAAAGGCATAATGGCCAACACACACGAACGAAACGAAACGAACCGCTGGCTTGGCCCAAAAAAAAGCAACTGCCACTTGAGCGAGCCTTTTGACTTGTTTTCCTTCGACTTAGGTGGAAACTGTGACAGCAGCGTTTCTGGCATTAGCTGCTGGCGTTTTTCCAGCTTTCCTTTTCTAGAGCACCCGACGCGGCCGTCCTGGGAAACCGTTCTGCTGTCGTTTCTGGCCAGGAATCTCAAAGTCGACTGAACCTGAAACGTTTCCTGAGCCCAGCTAGTGTCGGAGCTTTTCCTGGCTCTCCCAGCCGAAAGCCCTCTCACTGGGCCACGCTTTTCCTCTCCCATCGGTTTGGTTTTCCAGCAAAGAAAAACACTTGTTAGGAATTTTCTTTGCAGTTTTTGTTTTGCTTTTGCCCCAGCTTTTTATCGTTCAGCTGTTCGAAGGACTCAATAAATTGTTTCGCGATGATGGCTGATAAGGATTTTCACATTCCGTGATTGCCGGTACGAAATAAGTTATAGAAAGTCAATAAAAATGATTTTAAATGGCATTTTCACTTAAAAAATCGAAATATTATCAAGGCCATTATGTGGCACACCCGCTTCAAGCTAACTATTTAGGACCAACATCATTATTAAGCATGTTTAAGATACCATATTAAGAATGCTATTTTTAAATACGTTTAGGAAATTAAATAAATCTATACATATGTGACCAAATATTTATATGATAATTAATTGGTATAGTAATTCAATAACTTTGATTGGTATTACCAGGGTCAAATCAATTGATTTTTGCTTAGCCTTTCCGTTTATGAAGTCTGAATTGATTTAAGTGGCTACTTCTTATACTTCGATTCCAGTTGAACCTTCAATAAAAAGAACCAAAGCTTGGAAATCACATTTCATTCATGATTGTAAAATGCCCTAAATAAAGCTAACCAATAATTACTTTTTAATATGTTAATGAATTCGTCATTCAGCAGCCTTATCCGTCTTTAGAAAGTGTGACATTTCGTTCCCATGATTTCCCTCTGACGAAAACAAATCATCTCAATTTCTAGAATGCTCCAATTTCATTTGCAATAAAGATTGCCAAATTGGCCAAATCCATCTAATGTGTCCATTTAGAGCTTTCATCACAATCAGCTTTGTTATGCCATAAAAACACGAAGCTGCCAAGAAAATGCAACCATTAATACACCAATATGACCATGCAGATCGTAAAATCTTGATAAGGAGAAGCCCTCATAAACAGAAATTCGTCAGGAGAAAGCATTTCGCAAATCGACTGCTCATCCCCAACAGCTTAGCATAAATTTCTAAATCAGAACCCTCAATCAAACGAGTTTTTCAGTCACAGACTCCACCTGGAATGGTGTATTAATTGTGTAATCTATAAAAATCCATTTGCATAAGAATGGACGAGATTGGCAGCTGCCAATGAGCCCCGCGGGAAAGATTGGATGACGATGGTCTCCGAATTGGGTTAGTTGGTTTAGTGTTGGCTTGAGTCAGTGCCCACAGCCACTCTTGGACGCGAACTGGGGCTTGGGACGGAGCCATTACAAATCAATTTGGCTAGCCGCGCGTTGAACCAATAAAAACTGTTCTAATGAGATGCGCTGATGTGGAAAAGACAAAGGTAGCATCGTCAACTTGTTGACAACTATAATCGCGAATCGGAGAAGTTTTAGTTTCCCTTCGACTGGGAACCGCAACGGACGCATTCCAAGTACAACGAAGTTAACTCAAGAAACACAAACCATCTAGCTATGCAGTGGCTATTGTGTACGGCCTTAGTGCTTGTCTTTGTGGCATGCCTTTATCCTTCGCAAGCTATAAGGATATCCGCTCTAGAAATTGAGAGGCGACCGCCGCAAAAGCAGGCCAAGATTGGGTGAGAGATCAGTGCACACCGGAGAACATCTTGAATAAGTACTGACTTTTTTTTCGTTTCAGCTCCAGGAACTATCCCATCGAATATGTCCTGATACCGAGTGCTCGAGGTGGTTACACAAGGCGTTATGTCCACAGTCTAGCGAAAGCAAATCCTGAACCAACCACCGAACGCCCGTTGGTTCGCGTTTGGAATAGTTTCGTTCGCAGTGTCCAGCCCTCCTTCAGTTTCCGCAACTTGACCAATCCACTGGCCAACTTCTTCAACGATGGCAGTGCCAACATCATTGAGTCGTCGCCCGTCTATCTGCAGACCTACGATGATGATCAGGAGCTGCAGCATGAGGAGCCCGCACCAGTGGCTTCGCAAAGTTCCAACAAACGCAAGCGAAAGCGCCGCAAGCAACAAAAGCGCCGACCCACCTACGATGCGGAGGAGGACGATGACGCCTACAGCCCCTACAATCACTACTATGCGCCACCTCCTCCGCCATCATCCGCAGAGCCCATGTTCTTCTACGATTCAAACTCCGGCAACTACTACGGAGTGCAGCGCTTCAGCCCGCAGGATTTCCAAGCTAGGTTTTACAACAACTTTCATGAACAGCAGCAAAGCGAGCCGGAGGAGGTGGATAGCGAGCCTGAGGAGGACACGTCCGTGGTGAGGAGGCTCAGCAACAGGAAGGTGACTCTACTGCGCCCGCTGCCCTTGTCAACAGTCAAGAGCTCATCCCCGGCAAAGTTAACCGAAGTCAGCAAGCCAGAAACGGCCAACCAGAACGAAGATATAGTCGAGGAACCCGACAGCAGCGCACCGAGCGATACAACGACTAACGATGAAGACGATAGTGATATCGCCACCCACTCACCGCTCTCCGAGAGCATGCGCAATACTCTGGGCACGTACATGCGCGACGATCGCCACACCCGCCAGCGCCAGAGGCTCGCAAGCGATGGAGCAGGAGCTCTTGATTCCGAAGCCAAAGTTTCGCCCCGTCATTCTCAACGGCGCCTCTTCCGGCTGGCCACCTGGTGATCCGTACTAAACTATCTTGAATAAACTCTTGACTTATGGATGATCGTGTATTTATCGTATGTGTTAGATGCGAATGAGGGTGGGAAATGCATGAAATTGAGCTGGCAGCTGCAAGAGAGATTAGATGTCCGAATATAATTGCACTAGTTTCAACTTAAAGGTAGCGAGGTAGACATTGAACTTACTATACTAAAGATCACAAGTAATTTGCTAGATCTGGGGCTATGGGACACGATTAGACGAGCCTCGTTAGACGCGAGGCACTGCCGGCATTGAGATCCACAGGCAGCGCCACATGGTCAACATGCTGCACGTTGCGGAAGTAGGCGTGTTGCAGTGCGTCCTTGGCCGAGATACGCAGGTTTGGATCATAGCACAGCATGGACTATAAGATAGTAGACTATAAATTTCTGCTCTGAATTAAATTTCTCGCTACCCACCATTATGAGCTCGTGCGCCTCGTGTTCGGTTATGGGCTGTGGCATGTTGGTTGCCTCCCACTTGGGAAACTTGGCCTTAAAGTCCGGCAGCTGCGTCACACCTGGCCATTTGGTTTCATCGGGTGTGCTTAAGGTACGGAATATCCTGTAGAGTTGGTCTATCTCGCTGTCTCCGGGAAATAAAGAGCGGCGCATGATCTGTAAATTTAGGTTTGGTAAGTAGAAACAGCTGTGCTATCTACATTCTATTACAACCCTACCATCTCTGAGAAAATGCAGCCCAGACTCCAAATGTCTACGCCGGTGGAGTAAAACTTGGTGCCCAGCAAAATCTCCGGGGCTCGGTACCAAAGGGTTACCACTTCGTGGGTGTAGGCTCTCATGGGCACATTGAAGGCCCTTGCCAGGCCAAAGTCCGCCAACTAAAGGGAATAGAGATTGTTATTAGAGAATCAAGTTGATAAATCGTATAATCTCACCTTTATTTTGCCCGCAGTGTCCACGAGAAGGTTCTGGGGCTTGAGATCGCGATGCAGTATGCGATTGGTGTGGCAAAATCCAAGGGCATCTAATATCTGATGCATATAGCTCTGGAAAGGCGGTAGAATTGCAATTAGCAATAACTTTTAGCAGTAGTAAACATATAAACATACTTTAATCAGCTGAGGGGTGAAGACGTCCTTCTTTTTGTCCATCAGCTTCTTGAGATCCATGTTCAGGTACTCGAAAATCATGTACAGATTGTTGCCGGAGATGACCACGTCGAATAGTTGGACCACATTCTTGTGCTTGAGGTTCTTCAGCAGGGAGATCTCTCGAATGGCCGTCGAGGGAACGCCCTCCGTTTCGCTGAGAAAAGGGATAATAATGTTAAATGGGGCTAAGGCATCATCTATTTCAGTTAGCTATTGCTGAAGGACTTGGTGCTGTCCTGCACCACGAAGCCGAATCATGTGGTGCTACGGATTTTGGGAGGTAGAAACGGCGCAGCCCTCACAGAATCCGGGCTGCGGGGTGCAGGTGAATGACACTAGCCAAGGACACGCCAAGGATGCCAGGAAATCATATCTAAGTATTGTTATTGTTTGTAATGCACTGTTTATGGCCAACTGGGCATTCAGATGCCCAGCCTGCTCCAGATTACACACCCTTCCAGCCGAATCTTCTTGAGCGCCACATCCTGGCCGGTGGCGTTGCTCCGCGCCTTGTAAACTATGCCATAGGTGCCCTCGCCGATCTTCTCGGCGCGTTGGAAGTTGTCTAGAATGGTGGTCATCGAATTGGTTCGCTCATTCAGTTGGTAAACAAACTTTGAACTCGCTTTTGCCAAAATAAACCCAGATATTTTGGAGGGAAACTCTTCTTCTTCAGTGATGCTACCTGGCGCCATTCCAGTGTGACCGCGGAGTTATCGATAAAATATACCGTCCGGTTCAAAAAAAATACTATTTGTTCAAATATACCAAAAATGTTTCAAGCGGTCACGATGTAAATTGGAAAATGTGGCAGCTCTGCTAAAGGTTTTGCCAACCGTTATTTTTAAATGTTAGGTTAATTGATTTCCTACATAACTAGTTTATGAATGAAACACATTCCCTAGTTACATTTAATTGGGCCCAGTTTAATATGGCGATATCATTTCGCTGACATATTTAAGATAGTTTAAAGAAGGTTTTAGTTTGTGCACTTAATTCAAGTTTATTAAAGGTATAAGTTCAGTAAATACTCTTGTCGGGTACTCAAAAATCAAAGTAGAACTTAAAACGAAACATCCTGATTTATGCGCTTTCCAAAGGGCCAACAACAAACTAAGTGAAACCACCGAATAAAATCTGGCAAAAAGGTTGTATTGTCTGGTTTCATTTCTAACAGAAGAACTTCTATCAGAAAGGATTCCAAGTAAAGTAAAGTTTTATTCGAGTTTGGGTTGGCAATTTGTTATCCTGACACACCGATTCATCTGACTTGACCTTAAACTGTTGACCATATCGAAGTCTAAAAAAATGCAGTTATCAGGATAATGTTTGAGGTCAGGGAAATATTATTACTTTACCTACTTACCTAACGATTATGCAATGATAACAGCCACCGATCTGAAGTAAATCATATTACCTCAAAATCGGATAACAAATGAGTTAATTCCGGAGTGAAAGATTAGCTCTGTAATTGCAGCTCGTTATCGTTTAAAAACACATTCCGTGCATTTTATGTGCGTTGCATTTAAAATTGTAATTGCTTGTCGCAGCCACACGCAATTGGCTTACACACTCCATCTTGTCTCAATTTGAGCTTTACGTGTTGCAATAAAAAAGTGCCATAAAAATGAGTATTTTAATTTGGCTCCGCTACTGCGTTTGTTTGCGTGTTTAGGTACTAGCTGTGAATGTTTTTGGCGCTCGCATTTTATGGCACATTAATCATTCCGGGCCACGGGGCGTATGCGCGATGATGACTTCACTGAATCCTTCAGCAACGTACTTCAGTGCGATCAGTACTCAGGCGACAATTAGGCATGATTCATTGGCAGTGTAAATCTCGCAACCGAGTGCCTCGATTACGAGTATTTCGCATTTAATTTCAATGAATTTATGGCTGCAGCTGCTCGCCAGCATTTCCATACTCCATGGCTGCCACTCGATAAGGTTGCACTGGCTGAGATGAGAGCTAGTTGCCTAGTTGCCTGCTGCCTGCTGCCCCAGCCAAACATAAATTATTCCGAGTTGATATGTACTTAAGGCTTTTGGCGCCAGCCAAGTGTCGAAAAACTGCATTTCCCCCGAAAACAGAAGGTCGAGAAGTGGGCGGTGCCTAATGGCAAAAGTTGTGAGGACCAAAAAGGTGAAGGATGCGGTGGGTGGTTGGGAATTAAATTTCGTGCAGGCGTCAACCCCAAAGAAAGGAACCCCCAACTGTGTTTTGGGGCTTCGCGTGATTTATGCATTTGGGTTTGGGTCAGGCACTGGCAACTTTGTGCAAATAACCCAAAAGCGTTTTCAATTTATTAGCAGCAACAACTAAACGCGGCCAAATGGATAACCACAAACTTGGCGCTAGAATTTGCTTTTTTATTTATAAATCGACCTGTCAGAAGTCACAGCTTGGTAGCCAAAAATTAAAAATCTTGTTACTAATGAGAAAAGTTGGGGAGACTTCATCACTTAAAGGTATTCCTCTGGAACCAATCAAGGTGGGGTTGAGCATTTAAACATATCTGGATAGTTTATTCGTTCGTGATCGATCTAGTTGGGATCTATTATAAGCTTAGTTACGACCTGATATTAATCATAATACAGTATATACGGAAATAAAGCGCGGAATTTATTATAGTTTATGCGGTATTTTTGTTCAAGTGATCACCTTTTTATGAATTTTTATTAATTAAGTTCGAAGCTCAGCGAAAAAGTCGGGGATATTTGGAAATGGGAGATTTATCAGAATCAATAAGAAAATGTACATTTTTTATGAATAAGCTTGTAAAATTTCACAGCCTGTCACACAAAAATAAAACCCGTGATATTTCTAAAGCTTATGACTCACTTCGGATCCAATCTAGGTAGGATCGAATGTCTAAGTACCCCTGGAAATCATTTTTGCGTGAGTAGAAGCCAGCGACAGCAATCCCAATAAGGTGGAACTTCTTGGGGTTTCCGGAAACCTCTGTCAAAGCAGATCCCGAAAGAGGAGCTTTCTCGGCCTGGCCGCAGATCAGGTCCTCAGGAAAATGATCCTGCAGCTTGTGGCACTCCTTGCTGTCAGTTGTATTGAAGGCCTGTTTAATGCGCTTATCCAACCTCGTCGTGTCAGACCCTCTTTTTCCAATTGAGGGTCCCTCAAGTCCCGCAACTCTAAGATTGGAATTGGATAGTTCAGCCCTTGGAACCTCAGCTGATGGCAAGCAAATGGGTTGAACAAAGTCAGAGAACTTAACGTCTTTGGTGAGTTCTATTAAGGCCAAGTCGTTTTTGAATTCGCTGGCTGTGTAATTCGGATGGATGGTGACCGAACTGAAGAGATAGCGGTTGCTGGAGTCCGAGTCACCGAAAATGACTTCGAGAATGGGCTGCCCATGTTCATTGGAAACGCAATGAGCGGCTGTTACCACATGTCGGGCATCTATAAGGATGGCAACGCACTGCAAGCGGTTCTTTCCATCGCTATCCTTCTTTTCGATTCGGCCAACCCACGGATGCTCGTTGGGCTCCGCAATTATATTGGTACTCTTAAATTGCTCCTCGTTGAATTTTCCACATTCTTGGTTAACTGAGGCGGCTTGGATTGCTACAATTTAAATTTAAATTAGTTTTAATTTAAAAAAACTAATTATTGTATACTTACAGGCAAGTAAAATGGTAAAAACCACCAGAGAAATCAGAAAATTCAAAGCAAACATCTTAGTGATTAGAAGATTGTAGATGCACTGAGATATGATCACTCAATGCGGGCTCTTTTATAAGCCTAGCAAATGGAGATATATCTGGCCTTTTAAGCCAGTTATAGCAACGAGTTGTTTACACTAATTATTCTATACTGTAAAAACAACTATATTTCGCGGAAGGTATTTAATTTTATACGTTATTATTATTCTAGCGATCAGGTTTTTGGATTTTAATTTATGACTCTGGAACAGCAGCCGGCACGGAATACAAGTTAAGTGACAAACTTTTAATTGCTTGAAAGTCACTTGGGTTTCCAAATGGAAAAGAAAATCTGAAAATAGTACTAGAGTGCGTTCCTTGTAAAGGTTATTGTAGTACGGAGATTTGGAGAAATCGCAAGTGTGAAATGAACGAAGTTTCTTTAGCATCTGCCACTTCCAAAGATAACTACAAAATGTACGTAAGAATTTACATTTTTATTGGTAGACAAGACATAATAATCTGATAAGGAATGAGGATATTTCGGATACCATCTTCACTTTGAGGTATTATTTAGGATCCAGTCTAAGTAGGATCGAACGTTCAAATAGCCAGTGTACTGTTTATCGGGGCTTCCAAATCCAAGAGACACAATTCCAACTAAATGGAATTTCCGGGGATTACCGGAAGCCTCTGCCAAAGCAGATCCTGATAAGGCACTAAGCGCGTCTTTCTCCTCATGGCTGCAAATCAGGTCCACTGGGAAACGTGACTGCAGCTTATTGCACTCACTGCTGTCTATTCGATTGAAGGCTATTTTAATGCGCCTTTCTTCCCTCTTATAGTCGGGTTCACCCCTACGATATGAAGGTCCCTCGAGTCCCGCAACGATAAGATCCGAATCGGGGGTCTCACTTTTTGGAACCTCCGCTGAGGGCAAGCAAATGGGTTGAACAAATTCAGTGAACTCAACATCCTTGGTGAGCTTAATTATGGCCACGTCGTTTTGTTTTTTGGCTACTGAATAATCTGGGTGAACGGTGATCGAGCTGACTGGATATCTGCTGCTAGAAGCCGAGTCGCCTAAAATGACGGCAGAAATATCATCCAAATTACCATGTGAAACACAATGGGCGACAGTCAAGATATTTTGGGCATCAATAAGGATGCCAACACAGTTCAATTTATCCTTTCCATCGCTATTCTTCGTGACAATCCGTCCAACCCATGGATGTTCATTAGGCTCCGTAATAGTCTTGTTATTCTTGAACTGCTCCTCATTGAATTTTCCACATTCTTGACCAACCGAGGCGCCTTGGATTGCTACAACATAAACATTAATCTGTTTTATTTTTAAATCAACTTATAACATTCCACATACTCAAAGTCAAAGTCGCCAATGTAATCAGAAAAGTCGGAGCCCACATCTTGATGACTAAAAGGTTTTAGATACAATGAGAAATGATCAGCCTACCGTGCTCTCTTATAAGCGAATAGAAGCCCAGCTGACTTGTAAATCCAGTTATAAATTAAATAATAGTACCTTCAACACAGTAAAATGCTTATACTGTAAAAAATAAAATCGTTTAAAAATGTAACTCATTGCTAGATAAAAACTTCGACTTTTAAGGTAGGATGTCGAGTTGCACATTTAATATACCACCACACAAGAAAATAATTAAGGATGAATTTATACATTCCAGGAAACTTGATAAATTAATTAAAATATTGCGGTAGGTAACACATTGTGTACATATAATTACTCTATTCCGACGCTTTTATAAGCAAACAAACTGAGATGATCGGGCAATCTAGTTATTGAGCTGTTACTGCCAAGTACGACCTGAAAAATATAGAAATAACAAGGAAGAACGCTATAGTCGAGTACCTCGACTATCAGATACCCGTTACTCAAAGGGAAATGGAGATATGCAAGCAGCAAAGCGAAATTAAAATGCGCCACCTACCGGCGGTAGACAGATTAAGCGTTATGGGCGTTAGAGTGGGCGTGGCAAAATTATTTTTGGATCAATCGATAGGTATTGACGACACCAATACATTTCAGTTAAAATTTTTATCTAGCATGCAAATTGTGGGCGTCACAGGTTTTCGCGGTTTGTGGGCGTTTAAGTGGGCGTGGCAAACTTTTTTTAGGTCAATCGATAGGTATTGATGAGAACAATACATTTCAGTTAAAATTTTCTATCTAGCATCAAAACTGTAGGAGTTACAGTTTTGGGCGGTTTGTGGGCGTTAGAGTGGGCGTGGCAGTCTACTGAAACAAACTTGCGCTGCGTAAGAAGCTCAGGAATCTGTACGCCAAATCTCAATAGCCTAGCTCTCATAGTTTCCGAGATCTCAGCGTTCATCCGGACGGACAGACAGACGGACAGACGGACAGACGGTCAGACGGACAGACGGACAGACGGACAGACGGACATGGCTAGATCGACTCGGCTAGTGATCCTGATCAAGAATATATATACTTTATGGGGTCGGAACGCTTCCTTCTGCCTGTTACATACTTTCCGACGAATCTAGTATACCCTTTTACTCTACGAGTAACGGGTATAAAAATAGCTTACAATGCATAATGCATGGAAAATATATTAAACGCGGAAACCTATATATCTTTTAAGTGCATTCTGTGTAGTTATTATTGGGTAAGTTTCGCAATCTAGTGACATATCCGACATTATTAAATTGGTAAAAAAAAAGCATATTACTCAAATTGAAAACAATATCTAATTATATAAATGAAATTATTAGTACATTCAAGAGAGCTCAATCGATTCGTAATATTAAATTAAAAATTCATACGAAAAGAGTGACTTCCTTTTCACCTATTCTAGCTTTATCTCACCCCAATCTCAAAATTTTAATTGACAGGCCAATTCATTTTATTCAGAATAAATAAATAATAAAGTATGGGGAGTTCGAACAATTTGTCAGAATTCATGAACCACCGCAATTATGAATAAAAGATTTATGGGCCGTACATATGCATTTATTTATTTGCAATCGACAGAGTGCGAAATCAGCATGCCTAATTGAGCGTTAATGAATAAAATCAATTCCAACTCATGGCTAGCAATTGTTTGCGGTTTCTATAATGTGGTTTAATAGGATGAAGATTATAAATCTACCTTTAACAGGAAATAGCTGGGGGCAAAGGACAGAAGAGCAATTCAAACCCCAAGCAACCCGCCAACATTTGGCACTACCTGTAATGAAAGAGCTAAAGGACGAAAGGAAACCAAACGATGCCAATTGCAGGTGGTCAGCTTTAATCGGAACCCCACCATCTAGTCCACCTTTAATGGTGTTGATCAAATGTCAAAGTTTCTGGCGAAAACAAGGACACTGGGCGAATAAACAGGGCTCGCTGGCACTAGCTTCCAACTAACGAGCAGGCGCATGTTCGGGCTGCAGTAATAACAATGATGCCAGGATATTGGCAACACAGCAACAGTAACAACACTAAAAGCAGCAGCGACAGCAGCAAAGGCATCGCCAGCAGGTCCTGCCATTGTCAACAGGAGGAGCAAATGGCGGGCAAAAATGCAACTTGTAATTTGAACAAAAGCCAACCAGTTACAAATGCCGCCAACAGATGTTGCCCTATACGTACGATTGCTTGTGGGTAATGCACTCCTATGTGCACAGAGAGAAAATATGTGCAAATTGTCATTTGCCACCATTGTTTATATAAGTTTTATTTTAAACGTAAGTTCCCACAAGGAAAAGCACTTCTGTTTGCACAAAGAGGTTGCAATTTAAATATATTTCATTATTAATATATACTTGAATACGTTTCAATTTAAATACGTTTCATCATTAAACATTTCATTTAAAATGCAATTTTAATACGTTTCATAATACAATTTAAATACGTTTCATTATTAAATATTTCATTATTAAAATGCAATTTAAATACGTTTCATAATACAATTTAAATACGTTTCATTATTAAATATTTCATTATTAAATTGCAATTTAAATACGTTTCATAATACAATTTAAATACGTTTCATTATTAAATATTTCATTATTAAAATGCAATTTAATTACGTTTCATAATACAATTTAAATACGCTTCACCATTAAATATTTCATTATTATAATGCAATTTAAATACGTTTCATTATTAAAATGCAATTTAAATACGTTTCATAAAACAATTTAAATACGTTTCATTATTAAAATGCAATTTAAATACGTTTCATAATACAATTTAAATACGTTTCATTATTAAATTTAAATACGTTTCATTATCAATTTAAAATACAAAATTCTGATTTTTGTCAAAATTGCGAAATTTTGTTCCTGTTTTTCCGTCGTAGTTCAGCCAAATCAAGGCGTACAGCTAAGGGACCGACTGTTTTGAGCAGCTTGCTAAATATGCTAACAATCCTCATCACTTTTTGGAAAATTTATTTTTTGACCAATTTTCTCAATTTTTGTAGGGGTTACATCACTTTTTTTCGAAAAATGACAAAAATTAAAAATTTTCAGGTTGAAATGCCAATCGATTGGAAATTAAACAACGAGCTCAACGAGGTATGACATTCCTCAATCTGACTTATATTTTTGTTATGGCAGCCAAAAAACTGAATTTTTATGGCGAAAAAAGGGTCAACATTTTTGGCAAAAATACAAAATTCAGATTTTTGTCAAAAATTCGACATTTTTTTCCGGTTTTTCCATCGTAGTTCAGCCAAATTAAAGCGTACAGCTAAAAGACCGACTGTTTGAGCAGCTTTCTAAATATGCTAACAACCCTCATCCCTTTTTGGAAAATTTTTTTTTTTACCAATTTTCTCAGTTTTTGTAGGGGTTACATCACATTTTTTCGAAAAATGGCAAAAATTATAAATTTTTAGGTTGAAATGCCAATCGATTGGAAATTAAACAACGAGCTCAGCGAGGTATGACATTCCTCATTCCGACTTATATTTTTGTTATGGCAGCAAAAAAACGGAATTTTTATGGTGAAAAAAGGATTTAAATTTTAGTCAAAAATACAAAATGCAGATTTTTGTCAAAAGTTTATTATTAAAAATTTCATAACTTAAATGTAATTTG